GAGCACTGTGCTGTGGTTTGTAGCTTCCAGCCCACTAAGAAGCTCAAGCTAGGTCCTCTTTCTCCTTTTCTGGCCAGTTCTTACTCTTCCATTATTTCAATACCTGCTTATTTCTCCCCATACATTGTAAGCTTAGTTGAGGACAGGTATTGTGGCTTCTTGATTTTTAATATTCTCTCATACCAGGGACATCTCTGTTTTCAGGGCATGTCTGGAAGGAAGGCAGGATAAAATGGTCATAGTGGAGGGGTTGTTGTTGTTGTTTATTTGTTTTAGGGCAGTAAGTAAAAAATAAATAACTCAACTATCATCTATAGATTTTCTTGTTGATTTTCATGGAGAGTGCATATGTTTGCCACCGTGAGTAAAATCATAAGGATTGCGTGGGTTGAGAATTCACTTACTCTGTGTCAGGCACCTGAGTACCCCTTGGGATTGATAGTGTTATTCCAATGTACTCAGAGCTGGGATCTCAGTGCAGGCTTATTCACCTTTGCAGCCTCTTTTAAACACCAACCTATTATATCTTTGTGTCATAGTTGGCACCAGTTACTAAAATTAAGAAAATTTTTGCAATTGCACAGAAAACCAATGTTGTATTTCCCTTATTCTTTTGATAGTTCTGTCTTTAAATGTGTTGAGATCAGGAAGTTGCCTAAGTCAGTTTTGGTTTCAGCTATGTCTCTGTTTTAAATATTTCAGAAGTCTTTCACATTTCTGAAATTTTCATTTCTTTCTTTAGAAATGCTCTATATAAGCTTTTTTGAATCTAAAACTATTTTGAGGGACTGAGATCATGTCTGTTTTGCTCACTGAGCTAATTTCAACCTCTTATATTGCCTGTTACATAGTAGATACTTACTAAATACTTGTTGGACAAAGATGTCAAAATCAGAAAAATGCCAAGATTGGATATAGAAACAAATGACTCTTTTAATGATGAAACAATACCAGAAAGTAACAAAATGTCTCAAGAAAATGAAATTGGGAAGAAATGTGAGATCAAGAAAGAATTATTATGGTCAATTAAAGAAGAGCCACTTAACAACTGTTAATGTAAGAAACATTCAAACCTGCAAAGATTTTTTGTGAGTTTATTTGAGGCAAAATGTCAACAATTGCCAGGAAGCAGAATCTCAACATATTGAGATAATGCTCCGGAGAATGGCGGTGTTTCACCTTGTTTTATACATTACAATCAAAGGTGTAAGTGGGTTACATGAAATCCATTAGTGATAGGTTAGGGAGGCAGGAGAAAGCAAAGTGGGGAAACCTCTGGGATTGGATAAACAGTAAAATGATAGACATATGCTTCTTTTACATAGGTGGGTACAGAATAGTTAACAGCAACAATTAGCATGATAATAGTAACAATGAGAGAATTTGTGGTCGCTGCCTTGGCGCCCTGGTACACTGGTTGCGCCCTGAGAGGTCTGGAAAAAGGGAAGTTACAAGTTACCCTGACATTCCAAAGATATCTACACTAATAAAAGAGAAAACATGCAAATTAACCATCACTTCACCACTCCGCCACACCCACCAGCCAATCAGGAGCAAGTATGCAAATTAACCCAACTAAGATGGTGGTGGCCACAGAGCTGGAGTGAGCAAGAGGCTTTGGTTGCCCCAAGCTTCCTGCCTGCCGTGGCCGGCCCTGGGCTCTGCTCAAAGCTACAAAGTTTCAATTATAGAAGATAAATAAATCCCAGAGACCTGCTTCCAGCCCACCCTGGCCTCCACTCAAGGAGGCGCTGAAAAAAAAAAAAGGAGAGGCTAGGAGCATGGGTCACCAGGGGCCGTGGCCAGCCTGAAAACGGCCATCAGCCCCTCACCCAGGCTGGCCAGGCACCCCAGCGGGACCACCCACCCTGATCCGGGACACCCTTCAGGGCAAACCAGCCGGCCCCCACCCATACACCAGGCCTCTATCTATACTAAAAAAAGGGTAATATGCTAATGAGACTGGGAGACCTTCCAGGAGACCTTCCAGATGTTCTTCTGGACAAAGCCATGGTAGCGGAGCCAAGATAGAGGCGGTTAGAGGCCAAGAGGGGAGGGAAGTTGTGGCTGATCAGGCCAGGATGGGACAGCAGTTGTGGGTGATCAGGCTAATGGGGGGCGGGGCTGTTGGGGGTAAGAAGACCAGCAGGGGGGCCAGTTGGGGGCAAGCAGGCCATCAGTGGGGGTCAGTTGGAGGTGATCAGGACGGGGGGGGGGACAATTTGGAGTGAGCAGGCCAGCAGGGGGGGCAGTTGGGGTGATCAGGCTGGCAGGGGGCATTTGGGGGCAATCAGGCAGGCAGGCAGGTGAGTGGTTAGGAGCCAGCAGTCCTGGATTGTGAGAGGGTTGTCCAACTGCCAGTTTAGGCCTGATCCCTGTAAACCAGCAGTAGGACATCCTTTGAGGGGTCCCAGATTGGAGAGGGTGCAGGCCGGGCTGAGGGACAACCCCCCCCACCCCCCCGCACGAATTTCATCCACCGGGCCACTAGTGTTATCATAGTTGCAAAAGACAACAGACAGTCTTAGTTGCGGTAAAGATTGACTTTTGTCAGGAAAGAATCTAGCCTAGGACATGACGACCTGCCATAAACTGCTTTTAGTTTAAAAGTTTTCATTTCAGACCATCCTTTGTGGTTACTTTAGGTCTCTGAGTTTGCAAGGCTGCCAGGCAGGCCTTCCCTGAGCTAGTCAGGTTAGCATGTGGCCCCTTTTCGTCCACACAACCACAGTGTTCAGGATGATGGTGAGACGCCTCCAAGGAAGGTGTTACTGGCTGAATGTGCTAGTGGTTAGTAACTCTGCCTCCAGAAATGCACCCAGTGTAAAGGATGATTATGGTAAACTAAAGAATATCAACAAATTCAGAAAGGTCGCATCTCCTGGAGCGGGAAAACTTCCACAGATCATTGGAGGATCAGCTCTAATAGCTCATCATGCTCCAAGAATGCAGAATTAGAAGAGTGGTTAAGGCAGGAAATGGAGGTGCAAATTCAACATGCAAAAGAAAAGTCTCTTGCTGATGATCACTTTAGAACCCCAATGTAAAAAAGAGAAGATAACTGAGGATTTTATAAAGAAGCCACGGAAAAACATTTCCTGTCAAGCATTGCTTCCTCTTTCCTCTGGGATACATGCATGTAGTAGATAAAAGGAATTTAAATTACAAATATCCTATGGCCTGAATTAGTTAAATAAAACGCACAAAATTCCCTTCTTCTCTCTGCCCCCGCCCCAAACAAAAAAGATTAGCTAGTGAATTTCCTTCACATATGGTCAAGGTGCTTTTTAAACTGCAGCCACATTGGTTTTCAAATTCAGATGTTTTGAGGGCCCATCTCTTTGGGGGCAGGTCCCAATGGTTGGGGCGGCTGGTGTGGGACAGGAATCCCTCACTCCTCAAGGAGATACTGTGTGAAATTTCTCCTCATTGTGGGTCATCACATCTCTGCCTCACTGAGGCATCTCAATGTGGTCCTTTTATCTTTTGTTGTAGTGGGCTGTTCAGATAGCTTCCAGGCCTTTTTCAGATGGAAATGATTCATATGTAATTGTTGATTTGGTGTGACCTCGGGAGGAGGTGAATTCAGGATCTTCCTGCACCACCATCTTGAACTGCCTTCGTGACATATTCACTTTGAAATAAAAATTTTCATTATGATATGTGAATTTGTTTTCTTGGACCTCTTTTATACAGTAAATGCAATGCATCTAACAACTTATACTTTCCCGAGGTTCTGAGTGAATATAGGACATTAATATTCTGTCCATTGATTTATCAGTAATATAGAAACTGATCATAGAATAGTTGTTTGGTTTTCAGGATAATTTAAAATATTTTAAAATATATATACTTTTATTGATTTCAGAGAGGGAGAGAGAGATAGAAACATCAATGATGAGTGAGAATCATTGGTGGGCTGCCTCTTGCATGCCCCACACTGGGGATCCAGCCCTCATCCAGGCATGTGCCCTCACTGGGAATCCAATAGTGACCTCCTGGTTCATAGGTCGAAGCTCAACCACTGAGCCATGCCGGCCGGGCTCAGGATCATTTTAGATCATATGATCTGCACGTGGTTCCTAAGGAGTAATAGCACCTTCTTCCACACCACATTTTCTTTCAGGAATCATGTCAGTTAACTGAGGAGTAAGATCTATTCCCTATAAAACGGAACAAACCCCACCAACACTAGCAGCAAAACCTAACTAATGGAGTGGGGAATGGGGCTTACCTTCTTGAGACGTTGATGAGGGAAACGTTCGATGGGTGTTTATTGAATTAAAATTGTCGATCTGCTCCCAAGAGAAAACCTAGGCACTGGCTGTAAACCCTGAGCTTGACGATAGCAGTCCTCAAGCTGGCCTAGGACTTCCAGACTCTTTCGCAGTCCCTGGGGCAGGTGCAATTGCGGAAACCACCTTGAGATTCTTAAACATAAAAGTAAAACATAAAGATTCCCTTCCAGCTTAAAATTCCCTCTCCCATTTCAGCTTGCCTTTGGCATTCCTTTTTACCTATTTTCTCCTACACAAAAATGTTGATGGTGGGAAAGCACCATGGGACCTGCCCCAGGGCCCTGCATCCCTGAGAGATGCCCCCAGCAGGAGAAATGCCAGAGAACTCCTGTGGTTTACCAGGGAGATGTTCTATATTTCATATTATCCTGGTCAGTTCTTCTGAATGCTTGTCTCTTAACTCTTCACAAACTTTAGGATAGAAGAGAGTTTGAAGAATATATAATAGACTTGGTCATTGGTTAATATAGAGTAGTATTAGATGATGTGAAATTTTTACTTTTTATGTAAAACAGTTCTGTATCATTTGATTTCTTTTCCTGATCCTCCCTTTTTTTCCCCCCACAGAGATCATGGCTTGCTATCATACACAGAAAAAAAGAGAGATTTTACAAAAACAGAATTAGAAAAAAGGTAATTTAAAACCCCAGATAATATAGTAATGCACAGGTGTTAGTGTTCACTTGTGATTGCAGATGAGACAGGTAATAAACTGTTGGTGGTACGTTAATGAGAAAATGCACCATTTATACAGTAGTTATTGAATCTACATTAGTCTTTTGAGCAGAGTAAAATCCCAGAATAGACAGTAATCAGTAGCATATAGAGTGCTTACTCTACCAGGCAGAGTTCTTGGAACTTTGTGTGGACTCTCTCATTTAATTCTCTCCACCATCCTAAGTAGTAGGTATTATACACGGAGAAGATAAGGTGACTACAAAGAAATGTGACCAGCAGAGATCTGAACAGCACTCATCCATTAGGAATGGACCTCTTTCTGCTGGGAACACTGAAACCAGCGAGGTCGCCCAGGCTTGTCCCAGGGGTGGCAGAGCTGGATTTGACTATCTCCCCAGGCTCAACAGTTGGCCACTCTCTGAGTAGGTGTGGAATTCCAAGCAGATTCTACGACTCTGAAAAGAAGTATTCTGCTTGCCTTTCACCTCCTGAACCATTCTAAGGGCCATAATCAACTTCTGAAGGTCTTATCAACTTAGTGCACATCCCACTAATTGATATTCTTTGTAGTATAATAGCAAGAAACAGGTGTGGTCCAGTCCTGGATGACAAAGGAAGGTGTAGAACATGGCAGTGGAGTTGTGTGAGAAGTTGCATTTCGCCGGCCCAGTGTTCTCTATTTTGGTGATCTGTTACACTTAGGGCGATCCACCTCCATTTCAAAACTGGCTCTTCAAGTTTTCAGAACCTCTTATCAGACTGAAACTCAGCCAAGGTTGAAGCTGCCCAGTGTCTCTGTGCCGGCCCACCCCCACTGCTAGAGGACTCCTATTTAGCACAGGCATTATCTGCAGAGCCTGCTTGTAGGTGAGGTCATCTTTTTCTTTTCTTTTCTTTTCTTTTTTTTTAGCATTGTTCTTTTTTCTTCTTACTGTGGTTATGACCACAATCTTCAAAAGGAAGGGAAGGCTGTCCTCACACATGTTAAGAAATGCAGGCTTCTTTTATGTGCATGCTTTATTGTAACGTTTATATACAACATGAGTAGGATGTTGTAAACATACACTGCATCAAAACCAAGGTATATAATAAGTAGGCCAGGATCATCGAGTGGGTGACGTGCATCAGCAGGACAGTAATTTGGTACGTGCTGCTTATATTTGTGTTTTAAAATGATAGCAATGGACTTTGGTCTTATTTACTTCTTTTAAAAAATATTTTTATTGACTTCAGAGAGGAAGGGAGAGATAGAAACATCAATGAATAGAGAGAATCTATTCATTGTCTCCTGCACACTCCCCACTGGGAATCAAGCCAGGTTGCCCTAACCGGGGACTCGAACCGTGACCTCCTGGTTCATAGGTCAACACTCAACCACTGTGCTAAACTGGCTAGACTGAAATTTTGTTTTAAATGCCCGAGAATTTACTTTCCAAAATGATGATTTATCTGTGATCCATGCCATTCTCTTAGGTTTTCCTTAAAGAACACCCATTGTGGGGAATACAGAAACAAAAGAGGGGTGTATCAGTGAGCTTTGTCAGTATAACAAACCACCCCCAAATCATATTGTTATTTCTCATGATCATGAAAATTAAATGAGATAATTCATATAAAGCTTCCACACAGTACGTGGTAGAGAGTAAGTCCTGGGTGGTTCTTTCACTCAGCTCACCTGGGCTCAGTCGCACAGCTGTAGCGGTGGGTCACCTGGCTGCTGGCCTCTCTTTCCTTGTGGTCTTCATCCTCCAGGAGGCTAGCCCTGGCTTCCCACATTGTGGTGTCAGTGTTCCCACTAGTAAGAGAGGGCAAGCCCAGATGTGCGAGTGCTACTCAAGCCTCTGCTGGCACCATGTTTACTACTGTCCTCTTGGTCAAAGCAAGTTTCATGACCAAACCCAGATTCACAGGGTAGGGGAATTGATAGGAGGTACTGCTAAGAATTTGTGGCCATTTTCTTTGGTGATCAAATATAGTCTGCCTCTGGAAAAATTTATTCACATTTCTTCTACAAGAAACATGTGCTCACCTTTATCCTAGGGTTCCCAGAAGTTTCATTCCATTATGGCTTAGTCTCTTAGACTGGAGGCTTATCCACGACTTGCATCATTTTGGATCCGGATGGGACACCGCAGACTCAGCTCTTCAGATGGGAGCCTCTTAATCCTGAGACAATGGACTAGAAATAAATGATCTCCTCATACACATCCAACATAAGTGGTGAGGTTGGGAAAGGACTACCAAAATATGTCATCCATTAAAAATAAAGATACATGGACAGGATACAAGTAGCAATCACTGGGCCACAGCAATCACTAACCCCCCAGGCAATGGTATTGGAAGGCAGGGTCTTTGGGAGGTGATTAGGTCATGAGGGTAGAGTTCTCACGAGTGGGATTAGTGTCCTTATAAAAGAGGCCCCAAGAGCTTGCTTGCCTCTCCTGCCATGTGAGGACACAGCAAGGAGATGGACATTTATGAACGAGGAAGCAGGCCCTCACTAGATGCAGGACGTGAGCATGCTGGCGCCCTGATCTCAGACTTCCAGCTTCCAGAAATGTGAGAAATAACTTTCTGTTTTTATAAGCTATCCAATCTCTGGTATGTTGTTATAGCAGCTCAAATGGACTTAGATGGGAATAAGTTCTCTATAAAATTAAAGACTTCAGAAACCTTTTTTAAGGGAAGTTCAGGGAAAAAAAGCTAGTGTAGCTTTGTGGTTTACAGATGGGCTATCAAATTAGGGGATGGGGCTAATTCCCCATATGGGGGCTGCACAGCACTTAGCTGTAGAGAAGATGTATGGATCAAATAAAGGAACAGCTGCTTTGATTTATAGAGCATTTCTGCAGAATGCATCCAAAAGCATGCTGCTATAAGTAAAACCCAAGCTGCCCACTGCCTGTTTATTGACTGTGCATATTGAACTTCCTTCTCTCTCTCTCTCTTTTTTTAAAATATATATATTTTTTATTGGTTTCAGAGAGGAAGGGAGAGGGAGAGAGATAGAAACATCAATGATGAGAATCAGTGATCACTGCCTCCCGCACGCCCCCTACTGGGGACTGAGCCCACAACCCGGGGCATACGCCCTTGACTGGAATCGAACCTGGGACCCTTCCTTCAGTCTGTAGGTCGATGCTCTATACACTGAGCCAAACCAGCTAGGGCCCTTCTTCTCTTGAGACATTGGCCAAAAATTCTGATTGAGGGGACTGAAAAGTGAAAGTGTCAGGGAGAAACAAATGAGTAGAAGTGATTGAAGAGTGGAGGCTGCTCTTTTTGATTAGACTTTCCCAAAATGCTTTGGAGAAACTCCTTCCTGCATTTTGCTTTAGAAGAGAAACAAGACATATTTTTCACTATTTCTGCTAGCCTTGCACTTTTATAATCATCTCAATTAACACTCTTCAAATTCTCAAGTTGTGCTTTGAGTAAACCCCAAGAAATTAAACTATTAAGTGTATTCTTGCCAATACACTTTAGGATCCAGCACAAGTTTTTTGTTTTGTTTTGAAATTAACTTTGGAGCAGCAAGAAGATAAGACTTTTTTTTTGTCCAGCCTATATTTATTTTTAGAGATTCAAAGAATGATTTTTCCCTCTTAGATGTGTCATTTTTAAACATTAAAAAATGGAGCAGAACAATAGGTTTTACTCAGTTGAATGAAATTGTTCATCCACTTATGGATCTGAATCAATCTGTTTGGGAAAGTACACTTGTTATCCTTGAAAGATTGTATTACTATGACGTGTCCTATAAAGTACCACTAAATTATTGTGACACAAGACCTCTGGGATTTCCTGGCCCCTACCAGTGCTTGTGGTGATGGCTGGGCTGGAGGGACTGGATGAGGTGGTAGAGAGAGGTGTATTCAGGTTGACCACATGGGGCTGTACTTGTGCCCAGCACAAGGGTGCCTGGCCACATGGATAAGAGGGTCTGGAGAGCCACCAATGCCCAGTTCACCAGGCTCTGTGCCCTGGGGCAGGGGTGCATCCTCCTGGAGAAAGAGGCACTCTCCTAGCTTTCACAAAGATGTCATGTGGTCGCTACACAAAGGCTCACCAAGGCGCCATATGGAGCAGTGGTGAACCTAGGCATAAAGCCATTCTGATTTGTAAAGCATCATTTTCTTTTAACAAGACTTTAAAAATTGGAATAAAATTAGGGGGCATAGGAGAAATAGATGGTAAAATCTGAAAATAAGAACATGGTAACTTCATTTGTGAAGTAGGGGAGACATTGGGAATATATAATCTTTTTAGTCACTAATAACTGAATGGTGTGCGTGTGTGCGTGTGTGTGTGTGTGTTTGTGAATGTGTACTTTAGTTCCTAAATGAAGCAAAAGTCTCTAATACAAAGAAATGTATTAGAGACTACTCACATGTCAGAGGAGTAGTCTCTAATACATTTCTTTGTCATAACTACAAAAAAGAAGGCCCTTCGATGCTTTTGGATTTGTTTTCCTCGTGTAATCTACAAATACCTCTCTATAATAAACCTCACATGACTTGCACCTTGCCGTGCTCTGCATTGTGTATCCACATGTCTGAAGTTTCTCCACTTGTGAAAATATTTTAACTTATTTCTGTGAAACAAGGGAAAGGTTTGTTTCCTGATAGGAAAATTTTGCTTAATACATATATTGCTTAATGTATAATAATGCATGGATTACATAAATAATTCCTTTTAACTTAATTCTCTCTTCAAAGACCTTATCTCCAAATATGATTACATTCTATGTTACTGGGTTTAGGGCTTCAACATATGAATTTGGGGGGGTGGGGAGTGTATAACTCAGCTTGTAACCACGTAGTAAAATTTTCCCCTTGTTCTCCTTAGAGTAAGTAGGCACAAACTCTCTCTTCTCTATGATCAGAGATACAACTATGTGTTGTGTTTATAACTGCTTTTCCTGGAAGCAAGTAGGGAACAATGACTTCCATGGTTGATCATTGTAGCACCCAGAGTTTGGATTATTTATGTAGGTATGACCCCCACTCATTGGTCTTTTGAAGTAAGTACAAACCTGCTTTCTGAACCTCTCTTTCCCTATGTTTGTGAATCTTTCCCTATCAATTGCTTGCTCATCAAGTTGGCCCTAACCTGGGGACTATTATAAGTTGTCTGGAACTGTGTAGTGTTTGTGTATAAAAAGCTACCACAATAACTATCTATGGAATGGGTCATAAATTTCAGTGTGCGTTTGAATAACAGATCATCTTAGTCCTACAGAATTAGAAACTTGAAAGGGCCCAGACATCTGTAATGTTTGTAGTTGTCCCGAAGATGCTGTTGCTTCCTAAAGTCTGAGAGCCACTGTGCTAACCATTTGTCTGTTTCTTTATTTTCTCTTACATCCAATCTTATTGCCCAATGAGAAGGATTGTGCAATTTCCCCTTCCTTCCCTGAGAGATCTAGTTCTCAGGACAGATGATATGCATGCCTGAAAAGAGAATTAGAAAGCAGAAGCAGATTTCTGGTAGTTGGTTATAATTTTTCTTTGGAATTCTTCATCTCTGTGTGAATCAAAGCAAGATTTATTTTAGCAACTCTATGAATATAACTAGTGTCCAGGTGGATGGATTCATGTACATTGAAAGGAAATTAATTAGTCCCTCCAGTGCAGGGAGCAATGTAGGTGTTTCCAAGTGGTGGCTAGCGGGGCAGGACTGGGCAAAATGGGCCGGACACGCCCTAGAGCCAACCTCCTGTGGTCCCTCCGCAGGCAGCCACACCTGGGCCGGTGCCACAGCTCGAAGGGCATCTGTGGAGTGAACGGGGTCCCTCCAGCAAGTGGGATCCCCCGGCATGTCCTGCAGGGATCAGCCAAAACTGGCTCTCCGACATCCCCCAAGGGGTCCTGAAGTGCAAGAAGAATTGCAAGGAATGGGCTCCCTCCTCTCTGATTCCAGGGTGCATCACCTGTGAACTGCCGCTGCCAAGTGACCACAGCTCCGCAACTCCTGCGTTGAGCATCTGCCCCCTGGTGGTCAGTGTGCGTCATAGCTACCGGCCAGCCAGCTGGTCAGACGGTTGCTTAGCCTTTTATATATATAGATTTACTAAAATTTATTACATTATTCTTTATTACAATGAGACAGGAATTGTTTGATTTTTCTTTCTAATTTACCATAGTTCGTCCTCCCTCCCTCCCTCCCTCCCTCCCTTCCTTCCTTCCTTCCTTCCTTCCTTCCTTCCTTCCTTCCTTCCTTCTTTATGTTAATCCTCACCCAAGGATATTTTTCCATTGATTTTTAGAGAGAGTGGAAGAGAGATGGAAAGACAGAGAGAAATATCAATGTGAGAGAAATATCGATTAGTTGCCTCATGCATGCGCCCAGACCAGGACCTGGGCCAGGGAGGGACCTGCAACCAAGGTACATGACCTTCACTGGAATTGAACCCGTGACCCATTCGTCTACAGGCTGATGCTCTATCCACTGAGCCAAACTGGCTAGAGCCCATAGTTCCCTTTTTAGAATCTCACAGTTCAGAATGAAGCTACTGGTTGTGTAGGTTAGTTTGATGTTCTTTCTGTGCCTCATTCTATACTGTGATATAATTGCAGCAAGGAATATACCTGAACCTTTGGGGGACGTTCTTAGAAACAGCAGCCTCTTTGGTTGACTTTGTTGTAATTTTCCTAATGCTTGCACCTGGGCAACCAGGAGACTCTCTAGGTCAATGGGACCAACTCATCTAGGGGCTGGACTGGGTCAGAAAGGCAAAGTGAAAGCCACCATCTTCTCTGCACCTCCATAGAGAATCTTTATTCCACATACTCTTCCTTTCTCTCTCCTTACCAGATTATGGAATGAGCTTTCGAATAAGCTTAGGCCTTCACCTAATGTAGGACCCATGACTTTATGGTTGTTAGATCTTGAAAAAGAATGACCATCCTGAACATCACCCAAGACCATTTTCTGTATGATTGAAGTGTGCTTTGCTCTTTATATTATGTATGAAGTGATTTTTGGTTTTAGAAGAGCAATATAGAGCATGGCCAAGATGCAAGGAAGGCATTATCACCTATTCTTGCCTTGTTCATGAAAATGTATCCATTCTCTCTCCCATCTACCTCTTGCATAGTATAATAAATTGGATACTAACTACAACAGATTTATACAGCTCAACTCCATACTAGCTAACTAATGTACTTTCCCCAGATAAGATCGTAACTTGGCTGTAATGCATATGAGCCCCCCAGCCCAGAGGACTTGTGTCGGGAAGAGGAGTCCCCATAACATCTGGCTTTGAAAACCAGTGAGGATTACAGCTGAGAGAAATGAAGGGCTGTGGAAGACCAAGATATTATTCTTAAAGGACTCAACCATGAGCTTGCTCACGCTGAGCTCCAGTGCAGAAGCAGCAGTTGGAGAAGTGCCCAGGTCATACAGGGAGAAATTTAATTGACTAACCCTAGGGCAGGGCTGGAGGGGCAGGGATGTCTGGTAAATCTCTCTGGGGATGGAAATTTTGGCAAATGCCATCGTTCCATTGTTATGCTCTCCTTCCACCTGGCTGGCCCAGATCTGTCACTCTCCAATAACCTGGCTAACACCGTTTGCCCTGGCATGGCATTCCTCAGAGATCCTCCCCTGTCCAACCTGCTTACCCTGGCAGAAGTTCATCCCAAGCATGCTCCTGACCCTCCAAATAGGTGGAGGCCGGCCTTGGCTCACAGCACAGTCTTTCCCAAGCACTCTCGAGCTGGCATAAGCAGCGACCAGCCTCGGCTCACATTGAAGCTGCTACTAGGCAGCGCCAAGGCCAGCACGAGTGGCAGCCAGCCTCAGCTTGAATTGTGGCCTTTCCCAAGAGGCCACAAGGCTGGCACCTGCAGTGGCTGGCCTTGGCTTGTTTCCTAGCTCCCACTGAGCGGTTGCAGGCCAGTCTCAGCCTGCACTGGAGTCCCTCCCAAGAGGCTCCAGACCTGACATGTCCTTGGTTAATAGGGCAGTCTTTCATGACTCACTTTTGTACATTTGCTGAAGATAGTTGAGTATTGTGGTTAAGTGGAGTACTCTGGAGCCCAAATGCTTATTTATTGGTGACCTTGGATAAGTTCTTTAATCTTCCTATGCTCAACTTATGAACTCTGATCATGACAATGCCTACTTCATTAAGTCTGTATGAAGATTAAAGAGGGTATCACATGAAAAGTGCCTAGAAATTGGTTACTGGCCCTACATAATAGCTACTTTTATGGAAAATAATATGGACATAGAAAGCATTATTTTGCCTTGCTAAGTGAGGAAATGATCACAACAACCTTTATAAAAATGGGAATTCTACTTGAGCTGCCAACTTGTTTCAAAAAGCCATTAAAAGTAGGCAAATATTGCTGCTGTGTGATGGATAAATGGGAGTGTGTGTTATTATTGCTACTTAGCTGGTGTAGGATTGAAATTTTCCATGTAATCTTTTGTTTTTAAAGCAGCTTTGTTAATGATGCTTCCCACTAGAGACCTTGGAGGAAACTGTGTGTCTTTCATTACTGATTCTTTATCTGGCTTGTGCTATGTGATTCCTGCCTAAATAGATATCGTATTTCTGCTCACCTCTCTTATTTATTAAAATTGCATTAAACACTTAACCATTTCCTTATCTCCTTTACTTTTAATATCTTCCATGAGTGTATATTTTGGTTTTCTTCCTTGAACAAGCACTTAACCTGAAGTATGTTAGTGATGCCCAAATTAATGATATTGGGCAGAGGAACAAGGGAATTTCAACTTCCAAATTTTATACTTCCTTATTAGATTGTTGTCTTTGTGTATTTTGTTGTTGTTTTACTTCAAGCATGTTTTACTTTTATAACATTTTTAAAAGAAAAAAATTTAAACCATGATTTATATAGTCACTATTTAAAGAATCATTATGATGAACAGGACTGAGACTGAAATAGACACAAAACAGACATTTAGACTTGGCCCCAAAGCCTTCTAAATTGACTCTCTTGATTTAAAATCACAATCTTTGCAAATTTTTTTTTTCTGTGTCTCTTTTGATTTGCAATTATTGGAGAACTTAAAAGCAAGAAAAAGATTGGTTCCCAATGCAATCTACAATTTTACATTGCTGATTGAATCCTGGGCACCTGTAATATTGAACTGCAGAGACCTATAGGGTATAAAATACAACTGTGTTCATGACTCTTAGTCATATTCGTCCTTTACTTGTAAGCAAAATGTCACAGAACTGTTAGCTCATTTTAGTGCATTTATTATACCCAGAAATAAAGAATTGGGAGTGCTGAGCAAAATGTTTCTTTATTTTTTTAAAGATTTTTAATTGATTTTTAAAGAGAGAGAACAGGAGAGGAAGAGAGAAACGTCAATGCAACTGGGCATGTGCCTTGACCAGAACGAACCTGGCAACCGTTCCCTGCACGGGATAATGCCCAACCAACTGGACCACACTAGCCAGGCTAGAATACTTTATTGCTCTCACTAGAGGAATTTAACTTCGGTATCTCTACCTGCAGGCAACATGAAGGACCGGCTAGCAGAACTTCTGGAGTTAACCAAGCAGTATGACCAGCAGCTCTCCGACGGGGACGATGAATTGGACTTGCCCCACGAGGACTTCGTGTTCGAGACAGACCACATCCTGGAGTCCTTGTACCGAGACATCAAGGGCCTTCAGGATGAAAACCAGCAGTTGATGATCGACGTGAAGCGGCTGGGAAAGCAGAACGCCCGCTTCCTCACGTCCATGCGGCGTCTCAGCAGCATCAAGCGCGACACCAACTCAATCGCCAAGGACATCAAGGCCCGCGGCGAGAGCATCCACCGCAAGCTGCGCGCCATGAAGGTGCTGAGCGAGGCGGCCGAGGCCCAGCACGGACCCAACTCGGCGGTGGCGCGCATCTCCCGCGCGCAGTACAGCGCGCTCACCCGCACCTTCCAGCGCGCCATGCACGAGTACAACCAGGCCGAGATGAAGCAGCGCGACAACTGCAAGATCCGCATCCAGCGCCAGCTGGAGATCATGGGCAAGGACGTGTCGGGGGAGCAGATCGAGGACATGTTCGAGCAGGGCAAGTGGGACGTGTTCTCAGAGAACCTGCTGGCCGACGTGAAGGGCGCGCGGGCGGCCCTCAACGAGATTGAGAGCCGCCACCGCGAGCTGGTGAAGCTGGAGAGCCGCATCCGTGATGTGCACGAGCTTTTCCTGCAGATGGCGGTGCTGGTGGAGGAGCAGGCCGACACCCTGAACGTCATCGAGCTCAACGTGGAGAAGACCGTGGACTACACTGGCCAGGCCAAGGCGCAGGTGCGCAAGACCTTGCAGTACAAGAAGAAGAACCCCTGCCGGACCATCTGCTGCTTTTGCTGCCCCTGTGTCAACTAGCAAGGTGGCCTGGGACCTCGCACCCCCTCTCAACGGGAATGGTCTGGGAAGCGCACTGGGAAAGATTTGGGGGCTCCCTTCACTGGGGCGAGTTGTCCCAACTCCTACGGACCTCAGTTTTTAGAGAAAGAAGAAACTCGAGATCCAAAAGTTCCAACCCAGCCCATGCTTGGGACTATAGTTGATGCCTTCCGATGTTTCTGCAGTAAGGACAGAGATACCCTGAAGTTGTGTGAGGTCGTTATATGGCAAATTGCATTCTTGCCCTCTTAACAGAAGCCACATAAAGAACTGACTAGCGAACTGGAAGGTACATGTCCCAGGCATGTTTCCTAATGAAATTCTAGGAGGAAGTCAATTCCGCATTGGCTAATAGTATGAACTCATCAAAACAAATTCATACCCTCTCCTGAAAGTACCTTGGTTGGTTCTGTTCAATTTCACGTCTTTCATTTCCACTCCTCATCTGGTTTATGCTGTGTGATTCCTGTCTAGAAGTATACCTATTTCCTTCCTGCTCACCTCCATATTAAAATCACATTTAACACTCACTATTTTCTTATCTCTTTACTTTTAATATCTTCCATCAGAATATAGTTGGGATTTTTCCCCCCAAAATATTTTTAAGCACTGAGTATTGAACAAGCCCTGAAATTGATGTATCTATCAGTCACATTTTATATATTTTTCATAAGTAAAAATAATTTAAAATTTATCTTTTTTTACTTGATTGTTACAAATGCACATATACATATGTAAATTGTGAAGTACTAATATTCACTAACATGTACATAATGACTAATTGTTTTTCATTTTACTTTTGTAAATATAAACTATAACTATCAGAAAAAACACTTTTACTGGTTATTGGTGTTGGTTGTCTTGTTTTGAGTTTATCTCATTCCCATCTGCATTTGGGCAGGAACTTTATTTTGAACAACTCTGTGTCAGTTATAGTGATAAAGACAGATGTCAACAGCTGAAAATAAATCCAGAACTAGATAATAAAATAAATTTCTTGGAAATATTACTTTTGTTTTACTATGGACCATTCCTTTCATGCATTTAAATGGAGTAATTTAAACTAAAATATTTCTTTTTAAGTTAGTTTAATAAACATTACATTATCATTTTCCCTTTTATGTATTTGTACCTTAGTTTACTTTCTCAATTATTGTGTTGAAAATTCTTGTAGCTTCTTAAAGTTGCAACATCTGGATGGAACTCTGAATAGCGAAGAAAAAAATGAAAAAGCATTCGTAGGGGAGTGTGTCTTCCTTTCCCTCCTAAGTTACTTACAACAGTTTAGCAAAATCATCATGTTTTAAGGATTTGCTTTCATTTGCAAACTTTGGAATGTCCTTAAACCCACATTCACCGTGCTTCCGGTCTTCCTCCTGAGTCAACTCTGAACTCTTTCTACTCATTATTTAATAAATGAGAATTTATTCAGCTGCCATAATTCTCAGGTCCTTCAGACAGGGACATTTTAAAAGGAGTAGGACGAAGAATGTGTGAACTCTGTAACCCGCTGACTAAACTGCTTACGACCGTGAAAATCTACCCCTGCACCTAATTTTAATTTCATGCTTAAATATGAGAATTGTGGAAACCAAGTCCCACCAGGCTCTTCTCAGATTTCTCACAAATTCTTTCTCAGCTAACTCCAGGGATGTTTCACCTGTGGCCGAACTTGGTCTAATTCCCTTTCCCTGAGAAATAAGTCTTCTTCATACAGCTCCATTGTCTTTCGTGGAAGAGAAGAGATGTGGAGAATACAGACCACCAGCTAGTTTGCACAAGAGAGAATAATTCATGCATTTGACTTGTTTAAACCCATAAAGCATTTTCTTTGCTTAGAACCATTCATAAAAATAAAGGCGTTTGCAGGCTCCATGTACTTTTGAGTTCCCCATATTTCACATTGAAGAATTAGGTAAAAACTGCACTTTCATATACTAAGAGATTACTTACCTCTTGCCTAGGAAAAGGTAAGAATTTTTCTTTCTGCTTTTTAGTAACCATGTGGGTGTGACAGTGGCTAAGAGCCCAGATTCAGGACCCCACTCACTGTCTCTGCCTCATGTTAGCTGTATGACTTGGCATGCTACTTAGCCTCTGTGCCTCAGTTTCCTCACCTGTAAAATTGACACGCCCTACCTCGTAGAGTTGTTTGAAGAAATAAAATGATTAAATATGTAAAAGCACTTAGATAGCACCTGGCATATGCTACGTGCTATGTTTATTATTGTTATTAAATAATTTTCTCGAGGACTTGAGTAAATAAATAGTTACTAGCGTCTGAGGAAAAATAAACACTTATTCTTCTGTTAAGTCTTTTGAAAAATGGAATAAGGAAATCAAGACCCTATCTTCTTTGACTATGAGGCCTTTTTTCTACAATGAAAAAACTATTTTTCACAGTGGCATTTCTATTCCTTCTTATATCCATACATGTCCTGGAAAAGAAATTCAATGTTCCATTCAAAAAAGTGGAGCAGAAAGCAGCTGTTCTGCTCAATTTGGCAAGTGCTTTCCCCCGATTCTTCCCAAGCTGTGAGTCCCAAAGCCCCAGAAGGAGTTCAGCTGTGGAGGCCCATCACAATAGACCGAGGGGAAGGGACCTGGCGGCTTTTCCCACATCCTGCCCTGTTTTCCCCAAAGCCTTTCTTGGCTCTGACTGCCACGCCAAGCAGTGGGGAAAATGCTGGCTTTCTGTGCAGGAAAGGGTCCTCCAGCGCCACCCAGAGATGCTGTATGTTGGTTTCCCCAATCTTGTGATGCTCTGAAGAGTGACTTTGGGCAAAAAGACTTTGTGGTAAATCTGCAAAATTCATACAGTAATGTCATTTCATGTACAAAATGAAGGAACCCACCACAAAGAACAATAGCGCCTTCAGGGGCTGAAGGTGGAAATCTTTTAAAGCTATTTTAACATAGGCCATGACTACTTCCAAATAACCAAATGCCGCACTTTCCAGCCACAACCATAGGTTATAGGTGATGACAACTCCAGAAACATCAGGGATAGGAGTGGTGCTTCCCTAGGAATCAGTATCCAGCATAATCTGAAGGACAGTTTTGTTTTTTTAAATATGTTTTCATTGATTTTTAGAGAAAGAAGAGGGAGAGGGATAGATGGAAACATCGATGAGAGAGAAACATCATCAGTCTGCTGCTTCCTGCATGCTCCCTACTGAGGAGGATGCCCGAAACTCCAGCCTGTGCCCTCACCAGGAAGTGAACTGGTGACTCTTGGTTCCTGGGTTGATGCTCAACCACTGAGCCATACAGGCTGGGCTGAATTACAGTTTTTTAAAAATATATATTTTTTTATTGATTTCAGAGAGGAAAGGAGAGGGAGAGAGAGATGGAAACTTCAATGATGAGAGAGAATCATTGATTGGTTGCCTCCTGCATGCCCCACACTGGGGACCGAACCCGCAACCCTGGCATCTGCCCTTGATTGGAATCGAACCTGGGACCCTTCAGTCGGCAGGCTGACGCTTATCCACTGAGCCATAGCAGCCAGGGCTGAATTACAATTTCTTAAAAGCCGATCAATGATTTTAAAATGTTTGAACTGTGACTTCATGGGAGGAAGTTTCTGTCCTTTCAAGATAATGACTTGGAGAAAGAGTAGTGTTCTTGTACTAATGCTTTATGTTTATTTAAAAACAGTCCCAATGCTTTATGGTTAAAAGTTAGTTAAATGTCATATGCAAATATTTTTCAGGCTCTACAATATAAAGTTCTGATTTTTTAAAAAATATATTTTATTGATTTTTTACAGAGAGGAAGGGAGAGAGAGAGAGAGAGTTAGAAACATTGATGAGAGAGAAACATCGATCAGCTGCCTCCTGCACATCTCCTATTGGGGATGTGCCCGCAACCCAGGTACATGCCCTTGACCAGAATCAAACCTAGGAACTTTCAGTCCGCAGGCCGACGCTCTATCCACCGAGCCAAACCGGTTTTGGCAAAGTTCTGATCTTGATGGGAAACTATTAAAGACTGTGGATAGATTAAAAATAATAAAATAGGGTGTGTGTAGTCTTAGACTTTATGTATTAATCCTGTCATTCTATTTAATCATCAGACATAATTTCTACTCCTCTCTTTGAAATATGCCAAGTCTCTCTATCTGCAGGATGCAATTCCCTCATTTATAATCAAGAGGATAGTTTGAAACATCCAGTAGTAATCAGAGTAACAGTGGACTTAACTTTTGATAGCAAAATTGAAAATCATTGCAATTAATGAAATGGGACTATTAGAAATGGAAAGTGAATAAGATCTAGAATGTAACTTCACCAACACATAACTATTGAGCATCTTTATTATCAACACGTGTTAGGAATAGACAAGGTATTCTTTTGTTGTAAAGATTTTACATTTGCTAGCGAGAAAGAAAGCTTTCTGAACTGGTAATCTGGGTGATACTACACAGGATGCTTTAAAACCAGTGATATCCTGACAAATGAGGAGTGAGAGACAAGTCCCATCATAATTTTTTAAATTCCTGGTGTTTATTTTAAAAGTATTCTTTAGGGACTCTTTCCCGCTCCCAATGTGGGAGTCTGTACTTGTTCTTCAATAAATTTCCATCTTTGCAAAAAAAAAGTATTCTTTATACCCTTTTTAATTGTAAGCATCCTTAGCTACTCGGACTATATATATATAAACATTTTCATAGTTCTATAGCCATTTCCTTAGACATATTCCTCCCTCTATACCCTAGTATCCCATAATATTTTATAGTGGGTAAAAATAACAGAGCATGCTATATATATATATATATATATATATATATATATATATATATCTCCTTATTTCTATTTTCGAATAGGCTCAGTTACTAGTATTTGCACATGCCCAGTTTAGCTATCCCAAACAGAAAAGCACTTGAAGCTGTGTAATAGGAACATACGTGTAATGCCTGTGTTCCTTGTTGGCATTTTTTGAAGAGATGAAAACCAAGAACCCAGTCTTCTAATATTTGACAATAGTTATGTACTTCTATGTGTCTGTTTCTTACTCTCACATTACTAAGCTTCCTCACTAGGAATGTTCACGTCAACATCAATCTAGAAGCATAAATTGCATGAAGAGACAGAGAATGTACATTTTCTTTGACTAATCTCTGTAACGTTAATAAAACATGTTCTTTTCTTGAACTTCTGACTCTACATTCCTCACCTCTCCCTACCTTTAGCTCCTCCTCCTCAGTCTTCTTTGCATATTCCTCTCCCTCTTCCCAGTCCTCACTGCTGAGTTTGCATTCAAGGCCTTTTCTCAGCCTACCTGATTTCCCCAGGCTATTCCTCTCACTCCCAGGGTTTCAAATACCGTTTATACTGATGGCTTCCAGATCGGTATCTCAAGCCCTGACTTCTCAGCTGAGACTTGGATCTGTACCTCCCACTGTCTATCAAACAACTGCAACTAAATGTTCCACCAGCACTTTTCATGCTACAGAACTCACCGCCCCCCCCCCCCCACACACACACACAGCTCCTGTTCACACTATCTTGCAAATGGCACCACCCACTGCTCTCTAACCCTCTGCCCGACCAGCACTGCTCCTGAAGTGCATTCTCCTGGCCAGCATCATCCCTCTCTTCACTGAGCAGCCTGTGCTTCCTCTGCTATACTGCTTTCTTATTAAATTTATTGGGGTGACCTTCGTTATTAACACTATATAGATTTCAAATACATAATTCTCTGATTCGTTATCTGCATATTGCATTGTGTGCCCACCGCCCAAGGTCAAATCTTGTTTCCCTACCCTATATTTGGCCCCCTTTACTCTTTACGCCCTACCCCCTTCCCGCTGGCAACCCCACATTGTCTGTGTCTATGAGGGTTTTTTTTGTTTGTTTGTCTTGTTTGTTCATTTCTTTCAGTTTTTTTTTTTGAAAGGTATGATCTAAACATTTATTATCTGAAAACCTTGGTTTTTAAAATGAGTCAGAGTTCTTTTCATAGATGTTTGTTGAAGATGAAACATACTTGCAAAAGCATCAGAGTAAAACAATGACTGTCTGTAGATGACAAAATATAAAATGACATGATTATAGATCTGATTATAATCTGACCAAGAACTTTGCTTTTCTCTAACATAGAACATTTTAAGATAGAA